AATCACCAAGTTTTTTTTTCATATATAAATCACTCTCTGAAAGCTCAGTGAAGCGATCTGCCATTTTTCACACAAGAACGTGGTAACAACACTCATTGTGCACGAGCAGAATATTATTAGCACCAAACCCCAATTAGACAGTACTACGCATGGACAGACCATTTGCAAGTCACATGCTGGGCTCTCGGCCATTGAAAAGGAAGAAAAAATGTGGCGAATGATAATATCCATTAAAAGAATACGCGACTCACATAAGACTGGAAACAGCAGAACAGAGATGTGAGGAATGGTGGTTTGCCGTGTAATGCAAGAACTCTCTTCTCTGTCATGGTGCACTCAACGTCATCATCTTGAACGATGACATCCTTTTTTAACACTTTGATGGCATAAACTTCATCTGTCCCTTTCCGCTCTGCCAACATGACCTAAAAGAAAACACACAATGTACATTAAGTGAAACATGGCTGCCACAAAAATCACTTTTCAAAATTCTCTGACTTTTCCCTGATAAAATAGATATTTTAGCCTGACCAAATAAATAGGATCCTGTAGCACCTTCTGGCCTCAACCTACAGACATCCTTTACACTCATTCATTGGGTAAAAATATCTTTGAGATCACAGTGACCCCAAAAGTTTTTTCCAGCTTTCAACGGTGTTAACTCAGCCATGTTAAATTATTTCAATTTTTCATGACTTTTTTTCAAAATGTGTATTTTCCCTGACTCAAAATAAAATTCCGACTATTCCCTGACCTCGAGGAATTTCTTTTTTCCCTGACCATTTCCTAACCGGTGGCAACAGTGTGAAACTGTCTACTTCAACATGACAACTCAGTTCCTTCCCTCCGTCAGTGGAAAATAAGGCTAGAAAATCGGCGTTTACCAAGGTGGGCGTCCAATGTTCTATTTCACCCACGTTTGAATGAACAATGTCTCATTTTTCACATTTTCTTTTATAAGTTGTTCATATCAGCAGGCCCTTAGCACATTTCAGACACCCAATTTTAAAACCCTGGCTAAAAGCCTGCTAGAAACAAATCATTCATGTACAATTATTTGGTCCTTTATGGCACCCGCCACTGCAATCCAGACTGATGCAAACCTAAACTTGACATAATAATTTGACAGACTTGTCTTAATTTTATGAAATGATTTAGATAAGCTTAAAGAAGAGTATCCCTCAACTGAAACCATTGAAAGAAAAACCATGAATCTACCAACCTTGCCAAAGCTTCCTTTTCCAAGAACTTTGAGAAAATGAAAATCTTCTGGCCTGTACCTGATTGCACCCTCACCGTCATATTGATTTGCACGCGCTGTACTGTACTCCCTCTCCTGTCTATCTTCTTCTTCTTTTAACTGAGCTTGCATAAACTAATTAAAGAGCAATGTAATCTGTTAGCACTGAACAGTCTGTGGTAAAATATAACTCTTCAAGTTTAGAGGAAAAGATCTTCATTTTAATAATAGAAGAATTTGTGCACATGGCAAACAAGAAACATAACTGGCTACCAGTTTAATTGGGAAGGCAAAGACTAACTTGGAAAGGGTCAGCAGAGAAAGAACTTAAGTCTGTGCACCTGACCTGGAATGCAATCAGGAAGGTGGCAACACCTCTCCCACTGAAGAGAGAGACTGTGAGGGCCTTATGTGCCCCATGGTGCTACATGGATCAATGAGTTTCCTGATCCACAAAATCAGGTTGGGTAAAGGACCAGCAACCCACTCCCATAAAAATTCAATCCGTTACAGAGACTACATCAGTAACAAATGCTATCTAGGGTGTGGCCCATGACATCCCTGATGAGAGTTTCCTCATGGGTGGGAGGACAATGATTGCTCCAGGGGAAAGCTGTTTGCAGCCTCATGCTCCACTCAAAGAGGACCAGGGAGTGAAACAAAAAATTAAAGCTTCTGTTTACAAAAGAGCTGCGCATTAACAGAGCATATCTGAAAAGAACACATGATCACGTTCTCCGAGGTGTATGGAGATAAGTAAGGAGAATCTGTGCAGGGCTCGTCATGCCATCTCTTTACTCCTGTTTAAGAGTATTTCTACTTCCCTTACCATCAATTACTCCTAGCATTTAGAGGGGATGGGACATAGCTCTTCAAAAAGTATACTTGGGGCTGTCATTAAGTTTTTTAGTCACCTGTTGCCTGGATCTTTGCACTCATAACAAATTTGTTCCTTTCTGAGTGAGTTAAACCAATAACAGGCAAGTTCACTCAGAACATCAAGGGCCTATCAAGCATACTAAGTTATACTAGGGGTTCTGGTCCTTAATAACAACCCTGAATCATATTCAACATTTCAAGAAGGGGGCTGAGAGGGTTACGAAGTTTGCTCTCTAGAGCCACAGTGCACTCCATGTATTTTAAAGCAGAGATGGGGGCATAGGCCGTTTCTCTGGATCCAGGATCAAAGCCCCAAGCTTGTACACACCCCACCCACTTAGACACACTTTTTATCTGATGCACTTACTTTGTACTTATTTCTTAACTCTGATACCGCTTGTCCTTCATCATCATCAATAATAGGGATGTTATAAAAACATCCTTCCTCTTTGTTCAGAAGCTTAAACCAACCCTCCACGCCTTCTTTCTTCAGCTCAGATATTCCAAATGACATTGACCCCATAAAGTCATTTTTAGACGTTCTGTCCCAGTCCCAGATCTCGACAGACAAACGCCGATCATCATCGGATTCGCAGATGGCACTAGCAGAGAAAATTAACAAAAATATTAACACTAAGACAGTTTTAAATGCCATATCGTGACGTTTTGACATTCGACAGAGCATATTAAGCCTACAATCCATGTTTTAATCTACAACAGTCTTCAAACTCTATGTGAGTTCCAGCACTGTATGATGCTGAATGTGCCATTTTTTCAGTAAACCTTAAACGTAACCCAAAACGAGCCATTGTGTAAAGCCTTTCACATGCATATGAGTTCAATTTACAAGAAAATGAACCTTCTTGAAAGCGGAACACATTTTCATATGAATGGTTTTGCACGAAGAGCCATTTTGACACAGAGGAAAAAAGCAACTTGGAAATGGTCTGTTGCATGGTGACTCAAACTCAGAACAACTAACTTACATATCAAAAGACTCATTGAAAACTGGATTCAGTGACTTTTTAATAGTCTTGGTCTTCATCTTCATCTTCATCTTTGAGTTGATTTCGGCTGATTCAGGGATGAGCTTGATTTTAACATAGGGATCCGAGTAGCCATTTGGGTCCATAGGGATGAGATTCTTTGCCTCCCGCACTGCAAGATAACCACAACAAGAAAACAAATTCTGAAGTGAATCAGCTAGCTGTCCTATCCGGGATCATAGTATCCAAATTTGCTTCAATAGGAAACACCAATGTACAAAGGAAACCTGATTCTGCAGACTTCAAAGTGCAAAAATTGCATGACAAGAAATAAATGTTTGAGAAAATCAAACATGGCACCAAATTACACTACATGTACACTACAATAACTGAGAACAAGTAGGCTACGTCTCACAGAAATATATTATCATGACACCATTAAAAGAGACCAGTGACTTTAAATGTAACATACTATCAATTTTGTTATGCTGTAAACACAGGTATTAATACAAAAAAAAAAAAAAAATATATATATATATATATATAGCCAAAACAGAACCAAATAGATGCAGCTGGTAAATCAATCTAAAGACTATCTTGACTACTCTTTGAGAGGGGAAATCTGTCAAAACCAAGCACTTTACAAACTTAAGATGACCTCAAAATTACTTTTAGATAACCCAGGTATTATATACCACTATTACTAAAGATAGAGCTGAAGAAGGTAAAGTGGAAGCTCCTGTAAGCGACCACCCAAAATGCGAAGCCTAGGTGGTGGCTTACAGGAAGTGGTCTTTTACGAGAGCTTTGCACCATATTGGGTCAATATTTTGCCTCATTCGCATATGGTAACTGCAAAGACTTACCCCTCGCGCAAATTATGCCCATCTAAACCCATGTAATAACTTTTAGTAGCCACAAAAATATTTGAGCTTTCCAAAGTATTTATCCAGAGTATCATGGTTCACTTCTGATAAACTACCTACTGTAATCCTGGCGAAATGCCCACAAATTTCCTTATAAGAAAACCCTGTTTATGCAGCCACCCCGTTAATCTGTGTTAAAATGGCCAACAGCCACTTTTTAAAATCCCAACCTGTATAATTGTTTCAAATTTTTACCCCATTTATACGGCCACTCAAACCAGTTAAGTTCATCTTTCCATTGTTACAGTGCTGGAAATAATTTTTCTTTCTTAACAGACATGTGTCCTTTCAAATCATCATTTAGGTCGGACATCTTATCTATTTGACCAGATATCAATTAGCATTTAACAAATTGACAGAAGTTTTTCATGCATCTGTCCTGTTATTGATCATGAATTTCATCATAACATTGTCAAAGTAGCTGTGGATCCATGAGGTGATAGCAAAATGGATCTGCAGACTACTTTGACAATGTTATCATGAAATTCATCGTCAATAACAGGACAGACGCATAAAAAACTGACCACAATTTGTTTTTTACGATTAACAAATTGTCAAATTGCCCGCTCTCGCTCATTGGCACATCGCATAAATTATAAATTCATGTGTCTGTCCACTTATTGACAATGCAAATTAGCCAATGAGCGTGCGAGAATTTCTGCAGTTATCATAAAAAATAATAATATTGATTAGTATATTCAATTAGCATAATGAAATTCATTAGCATAAAGATTTTCCATACAAATTATTAAAAACTACATTTAAATTTGAAATATTTGTCATTTATGATTAACTACGTAACTACTTTGTCCACTAGATGACCGCACCAATCTCTCCTGGTCATCTCCTGGCTATATGTTATTCAAGCAACCCTGCTAGTTTTATATTGAATGCTACCAAAGTTGACTGTAGGGTACAGCACATGTACATACATGAATTGCTTACAGCATATCACAATGCATATAATGCTTATAGGGTGATTTCTGAAGAGTACTTTATTTGGCAAGTACAGGAGAGATGACTGGGAAGCCCAGTCGCCTCAAGGTTGGTATGCTTGTCTCCGGATCAAGCGGTCCAGATTAAAGCCCTGGGCGCTGACATTGTGTTCTTGGGTAAGACACTTTACTTTCACAGTGCCTCTCTCCACCCAGTTGTATAAATGCGTATCAGCGAACTGCTGGGGTAACTGTGCGATGAACTAGCATCCTATCCAGGGAGGAGCAGAAATCTTCATACTACAGACACAGGGATAAGCTCCACCCTGATGAGCCACTTGGCCCATATGCAGACTTAACCTACCTGCCTTACAGGAAAGAGGAACACTTCCGCTTAGGTACATGTACATGTATGAGTTACCTATCAACTACGGCTAAAACTGTCAGAGTCCAGGGCTCAAAATTAAAAAATTCTTGAGTCACCACATGGCGAGTAAGTGATAAAAATCAAGTAGGAATTTTATTCTGAAAAGGACTCAATGCCTAACATCTGTAAAGAAAAAAATTTCCAAGTCTTTTTTGGCCACTAATTTTGTAAACATAGCTAATGTCTGCCAATGCAATTACGAAGGATCTGTGCATTACAAGAGACAATACTCAATACTCAAGGGCTTGCAATGTATTACAGCGGAGCTCCTATGCATGCCATACCTTAGAAAATTTGGCAACCCATAGATCCAAAAAATTTTGGTTGTCACGTGACTGTCCGTACATATGTCCGTACATACGTCTGTACGTCCGTAGCACCATTACCATAGCTACATCTTTGATTTTGAGCATCCACGTTATGGTTAATTGCATGTTTGCTTGAAGTTGACTGCTGACCAGGGGCTGGTTTTTCGATTGGATCGTGGGCTAAAGCCAGGTTATTACGCTGGGGGAGAGGGAGGAAGTACTTGCAAAGGCAAAATTTCAGCACAAATTAACTCCTGGCATGTTGCTGACTTTTCTTTCCACATATTCCTTGAACAATCCATTATCCTCTTGTCAGTTTGTAAAAATTTAAGTGGGAAAAATAACGAAACCACACACGGAACAATTACACGACACGCCTAGATTAGCTCAGCTATCCGCGGGCATGTTACAATTGTAATTTTAATTTGATAACAAATAAAATGTATGTATGTATGTATGTACATGCTCACAGTTAATCATTTTTTTCGTTTCTGATCCAAGGAAAACAAATCCTCTTTTTCTTTATGGTTAGTAATTGCAATCAGGAGCTCCACTTTTAGGCTTCACTAAATCTATATATTATGGCAATTTTGAACGTGGTCAACCATTTGGAAGTTTGCAGATGCAAGAGAATCCTTTTAAGCAAAGCAAAGGGATGAATAGACTTTCTTATGCTGAATGTTTTAGAAGCAAAGATCTTTCACTATGTATTTCTGGAAGGACATAACGTCTGAGAAAATAATCATTATTGATTGTCTACACAGAGAAATGTAGTCACCATTACGGCATCTAACCCAGAATTTCTGGTCACCAAGGGTGAAATTGTTTCATGTAAGACATCACAAAATGTAAACATTTTGCAACCACTTACACAAAGTAAATGTCAATGGCATTATGGATGCGAAGCTTCATGCTTCCTTCTTTCTCGTGGCACTTGATGAAACAACTTCGCAGCTGCAAAAATCAATGAAGCTGTTGGAAAAAGAATTTGAAAGGCCTCAAAGATAGGGGTGTGACGATTCATATTCCTTGCGATTCAACTCAATTTCGATTATCGCCTTTCAATTTCAATCATTTCAATTCGATTATGCAAAATATTAATGTCTTTTAATTCTTACAACATGATACACAATGCCAGTTACAACATACAACCCTAAACCCTCAATTTTAGGATACAATGAGCGTGTTGCACATAGTTTGCCTTATTTGGAAATTCTCAAGGGGTGGAAGAAGGGCAACATTTTTACTACGCAACACAAAATGGCGCAGGAACTGCAAACGTCATTACTCATCAATCAAAAACGTACATTGTAAAGAGTTCTGGATTCTGATTTCACAATATAATAACTCACTGAGGGCACTCTGGAAAAGGTATGCAAAAAAATTGAACCAAAAGCAAAACGTGGAATCAAAGAATCGTGAATCAAACCAAACAGTCATAATCACAATTAATCAAGAATTTGATTAATTGTTACACCACTACTCAAAGATAAGGTATGTGGTTCATAATAAATAACATCAATTTGCATTCCATCAAGTGAGACTTATAATGTAATATGCAGTACAGACTGGAAATCATATTTAATTTATAAAGGGTTCAAAGAAGTACCCAAGAAATCAGGATTCATTTTAAGTGACGAAGATGAAAACAAGTTACCTCAGTTTAATTTACATTACTGGCCTGGAGCTGTGTAACAAGAAGTGCTAGCTCAAAATACAACTGTTAATTGTCAGGAATGTCTGCCATGCAATCCTCTCTAAAGTTTATGATAATAAATTATAAAAAAGACAGACATTTTTCGCCACTAACCCCAAGCTACCAGACTTCACTTTTGCCATGCCCTAAAGTTTATTACAATATTGATCCTGAGCAGATAGCTAACAAGATTTAAGAAATCAACAACTAAAGGAGATTATTTTCGTGCAATACTAAATTCCCACAGTAAACAATATACAAAATGTAATGTAATATGTAATAGGGAATTGATATTTTGAGCTCAGAACATATCTCGTACACCTGTCTGCATGACTCTAAACTAAGGTACATTGTATAAAGCAAATATTATTTAATCAATTATGTGTTGTTTTCAAAATAGCCCACATCCAAGCAACCATTTAATTTAAATTTTAATTTCTTTATTGACAGACCAGATGCCAAAGGCACTCTCGCCCTAGACAAAATATTTTGAGTTTTACAGTGGATTCCAATCACGAAAAATTCATCAATTGAAAATTCTTTGAAATAATAAGTACTGGGATTTCAGAAACAAAAAAAGCTGTAGAAAAAGATTATTTACTATACATAATATTGACTTTTAATTGCCAGCTGAGAGAAATATTAGTTTATTGTTGATCTCATAACAAAACTTTTCCCAACCGGAACTGTTTGTAAGTAAGAGCCTAGATTTACAAAGCAGAGGATAAACATTCAAAATTTAATCTAATGAAATTGGTTTGAACTGGCATAGGCAGCCTTAATGCCAAAGTACATGTACCATCTTGCCAAAGCCTACAGCACATCTTGCATTAATTTGGCAGAACCTAGTTACAGACCTAGATGGTGAGATGCAGTGTGGGTATAATAAGAAAGCTGCTGTCTCGCCCAAGAATCGACACATTGCAAAGACCCCAACCTGGGCTTAAACCAGAGCACATCTCTAACAAACTCAGTATGACATCAATGAAATCAATGGGTAATCAATAGGTAATCAATGGGTAATCACTTGATTAGGTATTAATTACTGCCGATGATCAATCAGTAATCGATGAATAATCAATAACCCACAAAATACCGACAAAACTGATGCACAGTTAAACGATCTAATGTTTTCTGAATTACTTGAGAAGTTCCTCTAACACTTTGGAAACTGTGTATCAAGGCCATCGCAAGTTACAACTGTCCCTTGTCAAACAGTAAAGAACAGACGCCCAGTTATACCCTGGTTCTACTGATTGGAATTTTTGTAAACGAAGTATTATTTTCTACGAAGGCAATCTATTTTTAACCAGGAGGTTATTTCTGTTTCCTTTCAAACGAGATATGGTTAACAGCTCTGTTGTAAATGCTTGGCAAGATATCATCTAAAGAATATCATGTTAAAGCTGTCATTCTAAACTGTCTGAAATGAGTTAAAAAGCATGTGTTGTGTCAGTTTAGTCTCCTTAGTTGATTGTTTGGATCTTATTGATGATAAATTGCCTAAGGAGCTACTTTGACAATGTTATGACGGAATTCATGATCAATAATAGGACAAACGTATGAAAAACTGACATCAATTTGTTAAACTGACATACATGTGGACTCTGACACTTTTGAAGCGAGGAAAATACGTTCTAATTAGCGCTTCTGGACTCTCCCGCTTTAGGGACTCCGACGAGTATACACTGTACAGTGTGTTTCAAAAGTTCGTTCCAATTTGTTTTCTTCTAACGTTTCATTATTTATTTAACCTACCTCTTTGAAATTTAGGTATATTTATTTTTGCTTATTTTTCATTTGGTCATTCAAATTATTAGTAGCCAGAATGCCCACCTTTATTTTTAATGACATTTTTTAAGCGCCTAGGCATAGAATGTGCGAGTTCCTTTAGCGACTCAAGAGTCACATTTTTCCATGCAAAGCGTATCGCCTTTTCAGCCGGTTCAGGCTCCCACTGAACCACCTCCTTTGTAGAGTGTACCCCATTGCTCTAAAGTGTCCTCGTAGATACGTTTCGCCTGTGGTTGACCGTTGTCGTGCAATGAAGTCGCAAATAATACTGTCTATTTCTTCATTGGTCATGGTGCTGAAGAGGCATAAATGTTCTAGGTCAAACAACCGAACTCAACACATTATTGTCCAACGAGATAGACTATGTATCGATTGTCTACCTTGGGGTCCATTCTTTACTGTTTGACAAGGGACAGTTGTAACTCACGATGGCCTTGACACACTGCTTCCAAAGTGTTGGAGGAACTTCTCAAGTAATTCAGAAAACACCACTATCAGATCATTTAATTGTTTTCCTTCAGTATCATCGGTAACTATGCTCACCAACTGATCTTACCATTCTCTCCAAGAGATCTTTATGGGTTAAAACCTCAGATATGCAGCGCTCGCTGTTAGCAAATGAATTTTGACTCAGAATTTTCTCTGTTCTGCTTATTACATACTCAAAGAAACTCTTCACCACGGAATCTTCATCCTCATCCAAGTAGCCTTGTCCAAATAGGTCCCAGCTCCCCGCCTAAATTTTCCCGCTTGACCCAGACCCCAAAATTGAATAAATGAGAGCAAAGACTGAATGAATAAAGACGAATTGAATTGAATGAATATAAAAAATGGATCGAATGAATTACAAATTGAATTGAATAAATATAGCAAATTGAATTGAATGAATATAGAAACTGAACTGGATGAATACAGAAATCAAATTGAACCAATACAGAAATTGAATCAAAAGAATACAAAAATTTAATTGCATGGATCTGAAAATTGAATTAAATGAATAAGGATTGAATAGAATGACTACAGGAATTGAAGTGAATGAACAAGGATTGAATTGAATGAATATGGAAATTAAATTGAATGAATAAGGATTGAATTAAATAAATATAGCAATATTGAATATTGCTACATTTGTCTTGGCATACTTAAGAAACTTATGCCAAAAATGACTTTTAAACACAAACTGAAACAGTTCTTACTTAACCGTTTTTAATCTTAGTTAGCTGTAATATTCTTAATCCTAGTTCTAGTTTTAAACCGTACATTTAGCCGTTTTTAGTTTTTATTAATTCTGTATTTTAGACAGTTGATGAATGTCTTTTAGAGGACCCTCCTAAAAACCAACTCTAGGTGATTGAATGTCTCCTCCCAAAATATTAATTATCATTATCATTATTATTATTACATGTATTATTATTAATATTATTATTATTATTACTATTATTACTATTGTTATTATTATTACTATTATTATTATTATTATTACTATTATTAAGGTATTAATTTGTATAGAAATACTTAACTACACATGCTCAGACAGCTACCAACATGTATAAAGTGTTCACTGTTGACCCTGATCTCAAAAAATTAAAAGAATAAACTTGTTGGCTGCATATTTATTTCAGTTCTACAAGATGTTAGTCTACATGTTTTTTCGTTCTTTTTTGTTTCGTTTTCACTCTTCCTAACAAAGACCATCTGGTACATCTGAACATATTAAAACTGAAAATATGAAAACACTACAAAAACCAGTACACTTATTCGGTTCACAAATTGCATGTTTTTCGTAAAAAAAAAAGGATATTTACCTATCAGATGTCAGATGAGACCAATAAAATTCATTGTCACTAAAACATGACAGTCTAGTTTGCCCAACAGCATGCCACAGTTTCTTTCTTTTTCACTTTGAAGGGAAAAGCATTATGTACATACATTTACATTTTTTTCACTTTCAATCATCAATCTGATATTTTTTAAACAGCCAGTAGCACAACAGATAGAAGAAAAACTCTCCAGGAGACAAAAATCATTATGGTGACATACATACAGTTGTTAGTTAAGACAGAATATGTTTTTTCTCCTTTTACAATACTACAAGCTCTAACCACATTGGTGAATTTGCAACAAATATTCTTTGCAAAATTAATGATCACAAAGCCATAGCAAAATATATTTACTTACACAAGGGGATATTGGATCTATTAAAATTTGTGCCAATAGATCAAAAAATCTTACAAGAGTAAATAAATTTTTCACACCACAGGGAAGAAAAATTCATAAGAATTCATACCGCACCCCCTCCCTCTAAAAATTTTGTTCTTAATAAAACATTTTTATACTGATAACCCATCAAGAAAAAAAAATAAGTACAATGTAAATTCAACGTTCTGCAACTGAAGTCCAGCCCTATAATCAGTTTAACTCAAAAACACCAATAGAGCCTGCAGCCCAGACGATTACAATTTCATTTGACATGATTAATATTTAACCAAAAATACTATTCAGGGCTCAACACTGAATGGAATACGAGATCCTCAAAAGCAGGTGTCGATTCTATTTCCATTTGACAGGTCGATCGAACCAATGCTTACGTAAAACAGGAAAATAATTTTACTTTTATAAATTAAACTAAAGTGAAGGAAAAATCTTGCTAATGGTTGCTCAAATGAAGTAACTGGTAAATCTCAAGATGTTTAAAGCGAAAATATCGGCAAGTAAACGCGAATCAGGGTTTGCAAACGAATACGTGAACATTATAATTTCTTGCAAGTGCGTGTGCCGATCTTAGGAGCGACTTGTAAATTAGTTATTTATCACTAAGCCGAAAACATTACATTCGTGTCGTAAAGGATAAACTTGACAAAACATAATATGCAAATGTTGCATACCTTCCACTCGCACAGATCCTCCATCGCCCTTTTCTTCCACAGCAACTTTTATATGTAGTCTCCCCCGTTTTTCTGTGTGATCAGCACCGCAAAGCTTTGGAACGTTAATCTCACATCTTTTGTGAATATTCATCTCGCATACTGCGAAAAAAATATAGGCTTAGGTCCTTATGATTATTCCTCTGGCTTTGGAAGAGCTAACGTAATAATAATCACTTATCTCCTTCTTCACGGTTGATCAAGGCACGATCGAAAGTTTTCACAATTAGGTTAACGAACCATTGAGATCATAGCGCTGAAGAACAACATTGAAGTAAAATAAGAGAAATTATGGAAACTTGAAAGGTAACAGCTCGTACCTGTGCATTGTAACCCTTGATGAAAGAGACCATACAGAAGAGATCCGCAGTGATCGCAAAACGTAGGACTGTTGTACGTGTGAACTTTAAATTGATGAGGTGATTCGGGATACTAAATTAAAGACAGAGAGATCGTAAGTTTACAATTAACCGAAACGCTTCGAGCGATTCGAATCTCGACTAATTACCCCTTAAACGAATATTGAAAACAAGCTATGCACCAAAAAATACAGATCAAAAATTAAGAATTCTTCCATTATTATTTACCTCTGCACCAGTGACATTTTCTGAGCCAGGACAAGCGAACGACACAAACCCGTGACAACGCTTATGGACCACGAACGAACACACTGCAGCAAAGTTTTAAACAAGACAGAGATAAACATTACCACAATGTTATTGTCACTTTACAATGTCTTGTTCGGCTTTAGAGGGTTAAGCTTGTTACGCTCAAACCTCACAGATATCTTACAGCATCGAAAATTGGCAACATTACCCTGGCATTGATAGGCTTGGGTTCCAACGAAACCCCTGTAAAAACAACACAACAGATTTAAAATAACCATTCAGGTACCTTAACGTGAAAATCAGAGAAAACATCATAGATCTCCGACAATAGAAACGCACATGAAGAATAAAATAACAGAAAATAACACCCGTTGAACACTTGCCAAATAAAATCCTTGCAATGACAGCAAAACGTTGGCTGTTTCAGGAACCGAGCGATAAATTGGTGGTCTTTGACAGCCACTACATTTTTCTGCTTGAACGCGCCTCTTCTGTTTATTCCTCTGGCTATTCTGGCGCTTCCAGTTTCCTTCCAGTCCGCCATGTTAGCGTTCAACCATCTGCACCTTTGGTTTTCCGCTAACTAAGTGACGTCACGCAGGCGTTCCTTATACGGCAGCTTTTTCTACAACATGGCCGCGCACAACTTGGAGCGAGTGCATTTCAACGACGCAAAGGAGACTGTGCTAAAACGTTGCGCTTTACGATGCTCTGCAGCTTCGTGTTGTTGCATATGCTATGTTCGAAACTGTCCATGATCTAAGCAAGCTACAGTTAGCTGCTGTCAGGTGTTTCCCAACTGTACCTAATCTTAAAAATGCTCTGCTGAAAGAGACCTATAAAGACCACCTATATATTCTGACCAATGGAGATCGTGTTTGGTCTAGCTGTCAAACTTTTTATCATCAAAAAAAACTTCCTCCAAGCTTCGAAACGAGATTAGAATCGTTAAAAAAAATGCATTCGTTAAAGATGAATATATGGATTAACGCGTTTGTAAAAAGACAAATCAGCCCCTTTGTTGGGCTCAGCGCGAGTGTAAATAAAACCACCGGTCATTGTTTTCTTTTTCGTTGGCAAAAGATAGCCGCACGTTATCTTCACCAGAACTGAACAAACCGTATCAGACTGGCGTGTCGTTTTTTCAATATATTTAAGGCAAGAAGCAGCCATATCACCGGATATCTTAGAGATACGAATCAGTAGAAATAAATTGACGCCCTAAAGAACACTAAACGGCAAAGTTTCGATCCGTAAATTTAAGTGATATTTTCTTGCCAAAACATTCTAGGCACGTGTTCCAAGTGCAGCATCGTTATCGAAACCTTTTGACCACTTTTAGCGAAAATTGGAAAATACCATCTTTTATTAATTTGTTATGAAATTTTAGTGAATGAAAAGGTGTTTCAATACCGATTTTCTTTCAGTTGCGATAAAGTACGAAAACGTTATCCTCTTCAAGTAGCTGCAGGTGTCACTAACTTGTCTGGTAGAGTTTCGAATAAATTTGCAGAGGAAAATTCAAGGGAATAACTTTCTCCAATTATCAATGAACGCCTCTCTTTTTCTCATATTGGCACTTAACTCTTATTTATTTATTTATTTTCAAAATCAATTGCAATTCCTCCATGGAAGATGATTCATTCTCAGTTCTCGCGAAAAATCAACACAGCCGGGTTCTCCAGGCAACAGAAAGCTTAGTTGCATACACACGAGCGACTGATCATCAGTAAAGTAAGAGGTGGTATATGATAATTTTGCCGCCGCCATAATACTGCGCTTTTGTGAATCAGCCGGTATTAAATTTTGAAACTGTTGTTGTTGCCGATACTTGCTTGTTGAAGCGATCGACACTCATTCACTGAGAGGCAGGGCTATTTTTCACATCGCAGTCAAGGGGTGGCAGTCTCAATCTTGTTAGATCGAAATTACTACCTACATGTGAAAATTTTCATCATTATTCCTACAAAGCTGCCCATTTGTCCACAGAACAGATGGTTGCAAGTCTCTGTTAGGACAATCTTTATACGAGAAGAAAAGAAAACCACAACGTTGAACTGGTTACTGAAAAGTGCCTAAAGGGAACGGCCACAAGTTATTTCTCCAAATATTTTCAACTTAAAAGACATAATATTCATGATTATGACTTTAGGACTAAGAACAAATTAGTTATTGATAGTGCTAAATTAGAATCAACTAAAAAACGTGTTTCTTCTATAAATGGGCAGATCTTTTTAATCATGGTTGTATATCAATCTAGTTCCAGTTTTTTTTTTT